TGTGAAAGAAACACATTTTTAGTTAAGTAGGATTATTAACTTTTTAAGTTTACTTTTTAACTTTTCAATTAGCTTTTTAGTCTTTTTTTCTTGACTTATTTACTTTTTTTAGTAGGTAATATATCATTCAAGGGCTCATCTAATTGGTCAAACACCAAAATAAGATGTACAGCCATGTAGCAGTATCTTTGCTGCATGGCTGGTTATAGATCTTGTGCTTCTAGACCTCACTAAGGGACAGGGGGACACCATTTGTAAGAGGTATGCAAGTGATCAAAAACGGTAACTTGCCCTATAACGGATTATAGATACAATCTCGTCATGGTTTTTACATACAAAAAAAATCCTGTATATTGTCTATTCTTTTGAAATAACAGCAATCCATTGCAGAATTTCTGAAACCTAAAGGACCAGTAAGGTGCTAAATAATAGTCAAATTTTAAAAGTACTCCAAATAAGAGGCTTGACAGAGAATAATTGTTGCAATGCATCTGAGATGACGAGTTGTCAAGACAGGAGCAGAGTCATTTCTCATCGGATTCCTGAGTGTCCACTAAAGGTTGGTCGTGCTCTGCTGCGCACACAATCTTCCTCTTGACCTTCTTGTTGGATGAAATGATGAAGTAGGGGCTGAGGGAGGCATAGCAGGAAGAGAAGAACACCCTCATGTCAGCCACCACTGGTGAAACCTTTGATACCGTCAACATGTAGATCCAGATCACATTATCAATGCCAAAGAACACAACGTAGAGGACTACCAGGGTCACCACAGTTTTGGCCGCCCTAGTTTCTGCCCCGTTGCCATGAGAGCGACGGATCCCTCTCACTTGTTGGCTGTGGCGGTGTAGAAGCAGGAGGATGTAACCGCTGGAGCCCAACATCAGGGCTACAAAGGCAAAATCCCTCACAGAAACAGCTACTCCATTAATAACATATGACAGGTTGTCTCTGAAGTCTACATGGCAGAAGCCGAGGTTGAGGGTGAAAGCAGGGATGGTGCCGTTACGTGGAGCCATTGAGAAGAAAGGGGCTGCAATACAAATGGCCATGTTAAGGAGCCAAAGCCCTGCAAAGGTTGGAAGGACCAGAGCAGGGAGAGAGGGCTTCAGCCTGGACAATCTGGGTCCTGCAGGAGCTATTGTCAATGCCTGAAACACACTGAGCATGCAGGTGATGCAAACAGATAAAGCCCGTCCAATACGATAGGCATAGATCACCACTTTACAGCCAGGGTCATTCAGAAGGTCCTTCAAGCCAAACACGGTCATGGTCTGGGGAACACATCGAGTCAGTAGTAGCATCAAGTTGGCAAAGGCAAGGTGGCACAAGATCATGTCCACAGGAAGCAGCTTGGGTTCACTGCAGATCATGCTGGCGTATGCCAGAAGCACCACAGCGTTTCCCAAAATGCCCATACCTGTTTGCAAGAGGAAGGAAACTCCTTTGATAGTCACGCAGAGATCCATACTACAAAGACCTGCATGAGTCAGAGTTTAAACAGCAGACATTAGAAATACATCCAGTGTAAGTAAACTTTAAAACAGCAACAATATTATTTAGATTATGTGAAACAAACCTCCATTACTTATACAAACCTGGAAAACTTTACTCTCACCTAAAAGCTGTGGATGTATAGCAAAAATCCTTTTGCAAATGAGCTGCCAAAAAGCCTGTGAGAGACGATTTATAAGCCTTGTTGTCCCTCAAGACTGTTGGCCAAGATTCAACCCACAGTTTGGCAAATGAATGCAATAAACTAACTTTGGCTTGAATTGCCTCAGAGGGGCAGAGTCACAGTGGAACCACTAGAGCTATTATAATACAATACTGGCCAGTAGCTCTATAGAACTGGGATTTTTATAGTTTTTTTTCTCCTGCTCACACTTTGACCAGCATTTCTTAATTAGCTTTTTACTTAGTAGGATCTTGTTAAATCCCAATTTTGCCAAAAAAGTATATAAAATAAATGTGACTTTGAGGTTAATCATCAAAGAAGTTAAAAGACGTTCTGTTGGTACGGTATGTTAAACATTTTCTGACACCAGTAGTGAATAGTACTGTACACTATCTATTCTATTCTATTCTATTCTATTCTATTCTATTCTATTCTATTCTATTCTATTCTATTCTATTCTATTCTCGTTGATTTTATGTTTATACATACATATTTTTATCCTGTGCGGGCAGTGGTTTTATTTTATTTGCTTTTATTTATTTTTATTTATTTTATCTTTTTGTGCAGCACTTTGGAAACCTTGCGTTTATTGAAATCGTGCTATATAAATAAAGTGGATTGGATTGGATTCTATTCTATTCTTTTCTTTTCTATTCTGTGGAAACAAGCTTGTTTTTTATATATATATTTTCTTTATAACTAAATGCATTTACAGCTGTAAAATTTTCTGTAACTTTAGTATTTAATCTTCAAGATGACACTTGAAAACAATATTAGTCGTGCTGTTTGGTCAAAATATGAGCAACGTAAATGTGTTGTTTCTCCAGATTCTGCTTTTCATTTGGTATAAAAACCAGTAGCCAAGGTTTCTTTTTAAATTTCCCATCAGAAAGAAGGAAAACACAGCGAACCAACAAGGGACAGTAGTGCGTACTTTTTGTTTATAACAGCACATAAGAGCTTTTAAAAATGGACAGATGGTGTTTTCCTGTGCTCTCCATTCTGACTTCATGTCCAGAGAGCATTTTAAGGAGACACAGAGGAGCAAGACAATTAACTCCAAGTATGTAACAAGACTTGTTTGCAGTAATCAGTGGCAGAAACAAAGCTGGTCAGCAGTATTTTCAAGATGCAAGCTTACAATCTGAAATGCACCTAAAGGTTTTATTTATTTATTTTGTAAAATGGAAAACAGATTATGAACCCAGAGTATCCCTCCAACTGTATGGACGTGCTGAAAGGCCAGAACGGTCACAATGTGAGTACCTGCGGATTTTTATTTCTTTCATAATGGTTCTTTTTCTCATGGGAGTCTTCTATGTAATAAATCATCATTAGAGAAAGTTTCTTCCTGAGTGTTTTTTTTAAACATGTTTACATGTTCAGAGACTTAATTAAAAAGGCAAGTTGAAGCGTGCTCTCCTCAGAGGATTGCAACATGTCCTCTTTGCTCCTGTGTGACTTCAATAATATTAAAACCCTTTCCCCTGGTATCTAATTTCTCTCTAATTATCGTCATTATTATTATATAAGAACTGCATTGAAAAATTATGAAATATGTTGCAAAATCACAGTTAGATTGATTACAAAGTTCACGTCTTGAATATGAAAGCGGATTAATTTGTTAAAGTTTTAGTTGTTCCAGATTGTTTGTTTCATTGCAATCTGCAATAAAGGTAAAATTTTATGAACATCTTAAGCTGCAAATGTATTGTTTCCTTTTAAGGGGGCCGGTAATACGTCGTCACCATTGTTTAAATTAAAACGTCTCTGAAACTTGTTAGATAATTACTCACCTTTTTCTAAAAAAACAAACACAGTATTGTTTTTTTAGAAATAAAATACATATGAATACATTTTTTGCCTCTAATTCATGTATTTAATTAGTATAGATTTAATTTAAAAATATTCACCTTTACCGACTTCTCTAAATTGTCCTTAGGTGTGAGTGTGTGCATGGTTGTTTGTCCTGTTTGTCTCTGTGTTGCCCTGCGATGGACTGGCGACCTGTCCAGGGTGTACCCCGCCTCTCGCCCATTGATTGCTGGAGATAGGCACCAGCACCCCTCGTGACCCCAATTGACACAAGCGTGTCAGATAATGGATGGATGGATGGATGGAATATTCACCTTTACCATCTTAAGCATGTCATTTCTTCAAATATCAAAAAATGTATCCATCCATCCATCCATCCATCCATCCATCCATCCATCCATCCATCCATCCATCCATCCATCCATCCATCCATCCATCCATCCAT